TTATTAACCAACTAATAGACCTATGCTCGTATAAACTCCAAATTTCATATTTTGAATAAATGTTTTCAATCCTTTATTGATCTGTGTATGAGAAAATCCAAAATTCCAAAAATTTAATGGTGATAGCATAAAAGTACAAATGTCTCTTAAAGAATCGGTGATAAATATTTTTGAGTTGTATGTTATCTGTTTATTTATCATTAGGGATGGTAAGATGTGTGATATGCCATTATATAGCCTGATGTATTTTTTTTTTTTTTTTGCATTTTTGTTTGTGCAGCAAATTCACATTATCTATCTAATCAAATTGAAACTTGCTGTTTTGTAGTTTATATTCATTTTTTTAATGTTGTTTTTTTTATGTAAGAAATAAAATGATGTGGAAATTAAATATATAATAAATTATCTGGCAAGACATGGTTGTCATCTACTAGCTGGGTGACTCCAAAACATCGGACCAATCCAACATCTCACAGCAATAATTTCTTGATTCCAATCTAAAAATACAATTTCTGATGCAATGTATATAATACTTGCGAGATTATTCGCAGTGGAGTATGAAATATATAATGTCAAGATCGATACATCTGTCAAATCTAGATGAAAAACAAAGTAATAATTCATAATTGAAAACTGCAATCTATAGAATTTGAAGGGTTATAGAGAGGATAAAATTGGAAAAAGCATATCACCTCGACGTATTAATGTATTTGTTGTCAGGTTCCATATTGCGCTTTTTCTTGAAATTCATCAACGGTTAAAATCACATTTCCTTGCTGTATATTACAATAATCTTTGAATGATATTTTTAACACCAAGTTTGTTTCAGAACGATTTATATCAACACGTTAAATCTATATCCTTTTCCTTAATAGGGTTATTTTTCCACTCCTTTTTGGAATACTGTACTTAGCTAAGGTTTATGTGCCAGTCATATCACCTGTTAATCTTTATAATCTTCCATTACCATATTTTCTTGATGCCTCTTTTTCTGAATTACTTCAAAATTTCGTAATACTTCGGAATATGAAAGATCAGGAAATTGTTAAGAATATATTTTTTTTTTTAAATTACCGGGCAACTTCCTTTACTTTTTAATTCCTGCTTCATACACAAATATTAAGGTACAGAGACAAGCCAGCTCACTCTCAGGTACAAAATTTGAAAAGTATAATCATTGGGATAATAGCCCACTGTACAATTTTATATTGCTTGTGTATGGCACAGTGGCTGTACGTCTGGCTTCTGCACAAACAAATATCAACTGTTTATTTTCAAGGTCAGCCTAGGGTAGTTTAAGTTTTAAATAGAATAAAAAACTTTAAATATGATAACCGTAAGTACTGCACAAACTGGTACGGCATTTCCTAAAAAAAATCCGAGCTACTGGGTAGAAGCCTTCAATTATTAGGTTAGCTCATAAGAAAGCAGTACAAACACTTGGAATACACTAAAGATTTAAAAAAAATGTTGGATTCATTCCATTAATTTCCTGCCTACTTATATCTCTTTATAACATCACATAAACAATGATGAAAATTACAAAATTAATTTCAAAAATTGAATTATATCAAAATAGGAAAAATAAGTATACTAAAGTTATAGCATATTTAAAATTTACATGCTTCCTTATTTATGGATTCTTAAAAGATAAAGATATATAATATGAAGTAATGGAATGTAGTTGATTTAGTAGCTTAAAATATTCTACATGCAGTAATAATTGTATAAATTAAATGTAGTCAGTGATTATCAGTTTGCTTGAAAAATGGCCATACACTTAAACTCGTATTTAAAGATGTGAAAAAGTGTTTGTTTATCTCTTATGATTGCTGACAACAGCGATGATTATTAGTACATAGATAACTGTTAAATGGACTTTGATTGTTTGTATTATTCAATAAATATGTTTCCCTACATTAGCAATGTTTACTTAGATCCATTCTGAGTCAGGAAGGAAGTGATACATAACTTCAACGTAAACAAGTGACTTTATAATAGCATCGCAGGTTTTGTCTTGAATGAAGACCACAAAAGCGACAAGGCAAACACAACACTTATACTGCCACCAACAATCAGTCGATGGCACTGCATAGATGAGCATTTGTATAGAGCGGAAATGCATTTTTTAACCGAAATGGCCAAACTAATGTGGGTATATGCATCTTCCTCCAAATTAAGCCACATGCTGTACCCCTTCTCCTAAATAATGAAGAGCTGCAATATGATTGAACAAACTACACAAGGACATTTTAGGTAAGTGCAAGCACAGTGGCTAGGTAACATATGTTTACCTAACTGAGCTGTGCTGCTCTCGCTCCCTCTTTATAAAAATGTATTACAGCATGACCTTAACATTACCTTTCTAAATGAAGAAAATTGAATTCAATGACTGACATTCAGACTTGCAGTCTTCTTTTCTCTCATCTTAACATCCTCTTGAATAGACGTTGAGATGGCGGTTTAGTCAAAGGGGAAAAGAATTTGATTTAACATACCTTTCAAAATGATAAAACTTTAATTTAGTGAGAAGACTTTAAGATGCAAAAAAGTCCTCTTCACTGTCATCTTAACGTCCTATTGAGGAGATGTTAAGAAGGCGGTTTAGTCTGTATCTTCTTTGTGTATGGACATTGATTACTAGATAGCAATTTAGGGTTATGGCATTCAAATTGCCCTTTGTGTAGAAGTCACAGTTATAAATCAAACTGGTCAAGAGAAATCAAAATTTCCTCTCTTTAATTACTAAATCTAGTAGTTTTCAATTTTCTTGTAATTTTCATTGTAATTATGGAACCATTAGAAACAATGGCTTTCATTTTTTCATTAATTAATCTCAGTATTAAGTACTGTAATAATTAATCTGTAATGTCAAGAATTTATATGTAATCATAGGAGTCAATTTAAAGTAGAAACTACATAAATTGAAAAGAATTGTCAGTAAAAATACTTAAAAACTTGATGGAAGGTTACTAAGTTCAAGAAAAACATAAATTATTTTTATATTCAAAATTAAAGGAAAGAAGATAGCTAAAAGCAGTAGTAAGAAATAATCCCTAAGAAAATCTACTCAACATTTCAATATTTTTAGTGTTCAAATCCAGAAAGTATAAGCTGAGCTATAGACAGATACCTACAGATGTGTTTTTACTGCTATAGTATGTTCTTTGAAATAACCATTCCTTTAAGAGAGCATCTTAGCTCAGTCCGCTAATCTGGTGGTAACCACTGTGTGTGCGCTGAACCGTGGAGATTTCTAGGTTCTCGGTTCAATTTCCATCGCTGCCTCTCCTTGTGTTTCAGCACATGTTAAAGAATGCAGTATACTCTTCGGAAAAGAGTAGGGGATTATTTCTTGGTGTACTGTCCAATCACAAGCAGAAGGACCCCACTGGAAATAAGTCGTCTTCTTGACTTACTTGGGCTATCCTTGGTGTTTGAATAAATTTAATCTAATCCAAGAAATTATTTTCAGGCAGTAGAAAAACACCTTAGGAAATAATATAAGAAAATGTGTTTGATAGTATTAGTATGACCTTGTAAAGGGTCATATCGCACCTTAAATAAATATTGGTTTTGGATCAGTTGTGTTCTGCGAGTCTAGGTTCATGGTATAATTTCTTGTCCGTTTCCTTTCGTTGTTGTCAAGCGCCTTGAGGTTGCTTCAACGGGAGGTGCTATACAAATCGCAAATAATTATTATATCATGTGAAATACAATGAAATTTTAGTACAGACTCTAAACTCGGAATATTTAAATATTATTAGATTGTTTTATTTTGTATATTTTACCATGGATATTTATTTTAAGTCAAAAAAATTGAACGATATGAATACGTTATAGACTTTTTTGATTTTGAACGATATGAATACGTTATAGGCTTGTTTGATTCTGAACGATATGAATACGTTATAGGCTTGTTTGATTTTGAACGATATCAATATGTTATAGGCTTGTTTGATTTTGAACGATATCAATATGTTATAGGCTTGTTTGATTTTTTTTCAAGAACAATTCAAGATTAAATATTATTTGGCATAAATACGATTTCTGGCCAGAACATTTCATTTGTTATATACACTGTAAAAGACACACAAGATTGGCTTAGGTCAAAGTATGTGGATTGGTGAATTTTAATGGAAATTGTTAACTTAGGGATTAGGAAAAAATAGACATATATAATAAGGAACAAGGTGTGATAATTCCATTTAATTAAATTTGATTTACAAGAAATTTAATAAACTGATTAGAAATAATAATTTTCAGTGATGAAATGCTGTTTGATACTCTCCCTTTAAAAGTTAATTTTCAACATCATTCGGTTTATAAGCCAATGGGATTGTTTTTCAGTAAAGCAAATATAGTAAAATGAAAATGTAGGCCTATCATCAGTGGACCTTCTGTTAAATTACATTTCCCAATGCTATAAATAAATTACAATAAATTGTTGTTATTTTTATGCAAGAAAGCCTATAAAAACATATGTTTTCCCTTTAGCACTGCCAGAATACTAGAAACTCTTTTTAAAATTCAGTTTGTGATTAAACTAATAACATTGCAAAATTGAACAAGCAGATTATTTTGAGATTCTGACATGTGTTCCTAAAGCCTTTGTAAATTGAATTGACAGAATTTTGTATAAATTAATTAAGATTAATTTGAGTACATATAAGCCATCTATGTTTCAGTTCAAGATGTACATTTTTAGTGCGGTTAATACATAAACGTTGTGTTGAATAACAGAGTCAACAAATGAGAGTGAACTGATTAGAAGAACTGAAGCAAAGTGAAAATGCAATAGAACGGTAGTTCTACTTTCTGTAGATTGTCTATTCCTTAAAGGAACATGTCCCAAATATATATGTATTTTGCTTAACTTAACCTGAAAATAATAAATGCCTTTGTCTCCATATCAATAATATTTGAACAGTCCATTTAATTCATATTTAGTTTTCCAAGATATATCTACATGAACATTTTTATGTTTTTTAACTACTCAGATGGTCAGTATGCTGAAGCCTCTCCTTCCTGCTTCCAATTTATAGCCCAAAACTACAACTTTTGAATGGATGTTTTTGATGAATCAGTTTAAAAAGTTATGGAAACCTTGTGTTAGCATTGGAGGCCCTCAACTGTAACAACTACCGGGTACTTGGTATTTATTTGACAATATGGCGGTATTAGGTTGCTCTGTATAATCCGTGTAGCTGGTACCGTGATATAGCAATAAAGCTACTCTTTGATCTTTCTCCAATTGTGACCATGTGATAAAGGAAGTTATGTGCTGTACATAGGGCTATTAAACAACTAGAGTGCTGACAAGGCGACGAAGCAATAGAGTACCACAGTCGTGTCGTCACATCAGGTTATCGTTCATTACGCCTGAACAACTTCATAGTCTAATGGTTTAGAATAGGCTTTCTGGAATAGGCATTTTAAAACATAATAATTTACCATCAAAATGTACTAAAAACACAAAAAACTTGCATTATATTAGTTATCGAACACACATTTAATGATCAATTAACATTTACAAAGAAAAATTGAGATACAACTTCTTAATAATTACGTTAGAAATTGGGATCAATGGTTTGTCAGTGGAGAAAATGGCGTCGTTTGTGTTGCCGAAAGCAACAGAGTAGTAGGCCTATCACATGGTATCGTGACGTAACACTGTAGTACTCTATGCAGAGTTGTGTATGCGTACTTAAGAAGATGACTGCTGAAGTGCCACCTTCAGGCTTATTATACATAATTATACCATAAATAAGCCTTCTGACTATTATTTCATTAATCATTATTATTAATAGTACTATTAAATTATTAAACTAGCATCCAAAAAGAGGCCAAGTGGAGTAGAGTATATAATATTGAAAATAAAGTACTGAGGAATGAAAATCGCAATCATATTCCCTACAACGCAATACCGCAATGCTTGAGTTTTATTTGTATGTACTCAAAACTTTCCAGGTTAAATTGAGGGCGCCCCATTGAAAAACGATGTTTAGACGTATTTTGTTTTGCTGGATTTAGCGCAGCCATCTTGTTGAGTACACACACATAGCTCTGCGTATTCCGAAGATTGAATGCAGTGGAGTTAGTGCTCTAGTATTCTTATTATATCTCTATGGTACTGAACTGACCATGTACAAAGAGATGATATGTAGTGACTGGTGTTAAACATCTGACAGCTGTAATTGAGAGTATGGTTTATGGCGACCAGTTTTTAATGCAAGGAGTGTCATTCCCTGATTTATGGGACTTGGGTCTGTTTTATGCTAGTACTACTATAGACTTACTTGTTCATTAAAGTGGTTTTTAAAAGGATCATTGCATACTTAATATATTCTCTTCTCAGCCTCATTATTAAAGGTTTTCTGCTATTAAACATAGTACACATTTCTTATGATTTATTAGGTGATATAGTGTAATTAATCAATAGTTGAAATTAGTAAAATTGATTATCAGTTGGTGGCCCAGGTAAAGTGTTATGAGACTTGGGTCTGCTTTATGCAAAATTACTTATTAATTACAGTGATTTTCTGATCTTTTTATATCTCATCAATAGTATAATTAAGATTAAATTAATAATATAGATTATCAGTTTGTGGCCCAGGTAACCCTATAAAAAAATATTATTAGTTTATCACCCTATCTAGGCTGGAAAAGTGATAAGGGGGGGGGGGAGGCTTTTAACATTTTTTTTTTATTATGCTAATGCCAAATATCACCCTTGGGATGTTTGCTGTTGCATTGGTATTTAAAGTAAAACATTATTGAGATAATACAAACAATATCTACTATTATTAATTGTTTAATAAAAAAAAAAATGAGAATTTTTTTTTTTTTTTTTTTTTTAAATATTTTTTTTTCCAGTACCATAGAAGACATGTGCATGAGGGTGATAAAGTAATACATTTTTTATTGGGCCTAAATGCTATATGTGAACATTCTTAAATAGATTGTTTTAAAGTTTCCAAATATTACTGTTCGTTGTTACTTTATTTTGTGCGCAGAATTTTACTTTGTTCATGAATCATGTTTCCTTATTTTAAAAATATTTTTAGAAGTTTTCAAATCAAGATTTAATGATTTTTTAATTAGATAACCTCTAATTAAAATACATTCAGTTTGCAATCTATTATAAGAAACTGTTTTTGTTTTATCTACTTTCTATTCATCACCTACAGTATAATAATCATGAAAAAACCCTAGAAAAACAAATTGTGTGAAAGCATTCTTGTCGCTCATTTCATTACATTTCAACAGTCTTCTGCCCACGGTAAATGTACAATGTGTCGCCATGCCAATGGTGGATATGTTTCCATATCAACCACTAAACACAATGTGTAGGAAATGAAAGGAAGTCATTAAATCGCAGATGTTGAAATTGATGACCTGGGTTTCAGGATAGCATTTGATTGTATTTTTTTTATTAGAAGCCTAAATACTAATGTGTTATTCTTATGATTTATTAACTGTTATATGTAACCAGGTTAAAAAATATTAGGAGAATATTAAGAATAATTTTCTACTTGTAGCATAATATAGTAATGCTTCGATATATATTGTCTCTGTTCAGTAAAATTCAATATTTTAATCTTGTTTATATATAAATTATTTTTAGCAATCAATTGAAAATTAGAACCAAGTTAGTACAGTGCTTTACTTGCCAATTAAAAAGTACATAAATGATACTGTTCCTTGTAAGTAAAAGTAAATCGTTGCCGAGCCATGAGCTCATATTGTTGAAGCAATGAAGATAAAGTACCTTGCTTAAAGACACAAGTGAAATGCACAGCGAAGGTTGGGAAACCAAACCATTTCCACTGCGTCAAATCATAGAGCAAAGAAAGTCTCCACTATTCCTTGTATAGATCCTTAATTCTGGTAATCCAAATTGTTATAAAAGCATACATAGGTAAATCACGAAAACTGAAATTATTTCATCTGTATCTTTATATAAGAAGTTGATGACTTACTTTTAATCTTTTTAAATAAGAAATTCAATGTATCAACAAAAAAAAATATGTCATCTTTGTACCAAATTGTTCTAAACCATGTGCTGGATTTCATTTTCTTACACGCGTTGTTATAATAACAGGCCTGAAATTTTGACATTACTTCCCTGAAATTCTGTTAGCAGATGTCCCTTCAGGCTTATGGTATCAATGAGCGAGACTCATTTGTGCTCGTAGTTTAGCAATGGTCTTTTAATGTATATCTAATAGATAACATTCTGTAATAATAATGATAATACTGATGGTTTCATTAATGAGTTGCCATACCTCAGAGATTATATAGGGAGACAACTGCAGATATTCTTTACAAATGCATATAAACAATTATTGTTAGATGAATGCCATGAGAAGTAGGCCAACAGAATTATTGTATTACTATAGGCATGAATGAATCCAGTATTTTTTTAATGGGATGGCTGCGTGAGAGGACCAGAAAAAAGGAGGGAAAGAAATGTTTAGACTATGGAATGAGGAAGTATCAAAATGTCTAGATAGACCCAAGTTTTTTATAAGTTACTTTGCATTCGTACTTGAGGGAAAAAAAATATTGAAGCATTTTAGATTTAACTCAGGATAGACAATTTAGTAAATATGTAATGTTTTATGTAAATATATAAGTTTTAGGCTTAAGCTCACTACTGCTAATTAGTTTTCGTTCATTGCTCTTTTTCCACAGATAACATGAACAGCACTATTGACCTACTTACACTATGATAAGATCATTTACTAGTGGCCACTTCAGGTTGCATTTTCTGCTTAATATATTTCCATAATTGAGTAAAGCTAAATCCGGGAGATTTATTCCTAATTCGGGATATTACATAGCTTAGATATTTGGTGATATCCGGACTACAGATTCTGCGTTTAGACTATGCCATAAATATATCTTGACAAATATATCCAAAAAAGATTTATCTGATTTGAAACTTTTTTGCATGAATCAAAGTTAACAACAAATTACATATAGTTAGATTTCAATACTTGAGGGCGCTATTTCTATATGCTGTTCCGTACGTACACATGCATTACTTTTCAGCAACCTATAGATCTTAATCAGCAATGCTGCTTATTTAGTCTTAAGATAAAGGGTTCAGCAGAAGTATTATTTAAAATGTGATCCATCAATAATATACAGGTTGAGGTTGTTGGTCATTTGAAATTTCAAGCTAAAATTTGACTATATTGACACTCAAGGGGCACCATCAAAAAACCTTGTCGCTACATGGGACGTGTAGTTCATAACAGGGGTATTGCCGGCGGGCATGATCAAGAACCTTTTCAGTACGTGGGACATGTAGTGCATAACGGGGTTGATGCTGGCAGGCATAATCAAGGATTTTTGTCAATAGGATGCGTTGTGCATAACGAAGTTGATGCTAATAGGCATGATAAAAAATGTTACTTAAAAGAACCCCCTGAAAAAAATTGTGAAAGAGGCATCAGGTATGACTGCCCATGGGTGATGTATATAGATGCCTGGCTGATGTATTACATGTCACTAAGGCCTGTGGGGCTAAAAGTTTGTAAAATATCAAGCTATATTACTCACTTTTTATTTAGAAAAAAAAAACCAACTCAATATGTGAGATAAAAATAATCATGTGAGAGCAATTTCAAAGTCATTTGTTGATTGATTGATTTATTATTTATTTATTATTGAAAGATACATTTATTGTTATGCCATTAAACATATCTACAGTTATATATCAGTCTGTCATTTTGTTTGGTTATCTGTCAAATTCTTCCTTTCATGCCTCATTTTCTTTTGAAATTATTATTTTTTAAATAATTATTAGTAGGTCTGTTGGTTAGTAGACCTAGATGGTACTACTGTTAAGAATCTCAGAGACTGGCCATAGTAATCTTACTCAATTCAGAATGTATACTTCACCATGAATACATTAAAAAAAATTAAATTCACTGTTAGATATTTATTTTATTTTAATTTTGATATTTATCCAAAAATATTTTTTTTAAGAAATATGTATGACATGCATGTATGTATGGAATAACAAGCTTGTGAATAATAGTGATTTTAATTACTTTTTTTAAATCCTTGCCTCTTAGATTTACACAGTTTTTCTGTTATTTTTCTATTTCCCTTACTGTATACCAATTGTTTTGTGATTTTTATGAAAGGCTAAAATAAAGAATAAATGAATGCAAATGACTGAATGAATAGATAGACAGACATTGTGTGTAATACCTTAGATTTTATTTAGTTATAATATATATCAAGCTTATGGATATTTAAATAGAACAAATGATTCTACCTGTCGGTCTCCCAAGACAGAAGACAAGGTGATATGGTTTCCCGTACATTATAATCTACAATAATATAATAA